GTGGGGATGGCAGACGCCCAGTCATTGCCTGTGCCTGTTCCGGTTCCCCAGATGAGGGCGACTGTGACCCTGCCGACTCCTGCACTCATCTCAGTTCCTCGGGCGGGAGCAGGCCCAGCTCGTCCCTGCACCCGTATCTGTTCCTCGGGTGGGGATGGCTGGTGTTTGGCCAGGCCCAGTACCCGTTCCTGTTCTCCGGAGTCACCTGCTCAGTCACAAGTTCAGCTACCTGATGATCCACCATCACTACAACCTGTACTTTTGTCCATAGCGCAGTTATTAGCTCAGTTTCCTGTTTTGTCACCAGCTCAGTCTCTAGCTCAGTTGTCAGCTCTATTACCTGCTCAGTCATCCATTCTGTTACCACCTCAGTTTCTTGCTCCATTGCCTGTTCAGTTATCAGCTCAGTCCTTAACTCTGTCACCCTAAGAGCCTTCATCAGGAACTCAATGGGGATGTGGCAGACAACACTAGAGGCCAACTCCAAGCCCATAGCACAAATAACCATCAAGTGCGGAATCTACCATGGAGATGCTCGGTCCCCACTGCTGTTCTACATAGGCCTGAACCCCCTCAGTGAAATCATTGACAAGACTGCCTACAGATACCGACTACGGAATGGAGCAGTTGTGAGCCACCTCCTGTACATGGATGACATCAAGCTGTATGCCAAGAGTGAATGAGACATCGATTCACTGATCCACACTACCAGGATTTACAGCAATGACATTGGAATGTCGTTCGGACTGGAGAAGTGTAGTCGGATGGTAACAAAGAGAGCGAAGGTAGTCAGAACGGAGGGGATCGAACTACCAGAAGGCAACATTGCAGACATAGAGGACAGTTACAAGTACCTGGGGATCCCGCAGGCAAATGGGAACCATGAAGAGGTTGCTGGAAAAGCTGCAACCACCAAGTACCTGCAGAGGGTCAGGCAAGTCCTGAGGAGTCAGCAGAACGGTAAGAACAAGATCCGGGCTATTAACACCTACGCCCTGCCTGTGATCAGGTACCCTGCTGGGGTAATAGGCTGGTCAAAGGAGGAGATAGAAGCCACTGACATAAAGACAAGAAAGCTCCTTACCATGCATGGAGGGTTTCACCCCAAGTCCAGCACCCTGAGGCTGTACGCTAAGCGGAAGGAAGGAGGCCGGGGACTGGTGAGTGTCAGCACCACAGTCCAGGATGAGACAACGAACATCCGCAAATGCATCAGTAAGATGGCCCCAACTGACCGCGTGCTCAGTGAATACCTCAGGCAGCGGAAACCCAAGAATGAGGAGGAAGAGGTGATACCATCATGGAATGACAGGCCCCTGCACGGTATGTACCACCGGCAGATAGCAGAGGTGACTGATATCCAGAAATCCTACCAGTGGCTGGACAAAGCCGGACTGAAAGCCAGCACAGAGGCACTAATCATGGCAGCACAAGAACAAGCTCTGAGCACAAGATCCATAGAGGCTGGGGTCTATCACACCAGGCAAGACCCCAGGTGCAGGCTGTGTAAAGATGCCCCAGAGACAATCCAGCACATAACAGCAGGGTGCAAGATGCTAGCAGGCAAGGCATACATGGAACGCCATAGTAGTGGTAGACAAGCAGAAGAAGACAGCTGTAGTGATCGATGTAGCGGTTCGAAATGACAGCAACATCAGGAAGAAGGAACACGAGAAGCTCGAGAAATACCAAGGGCTCAGAGAAGAGCTCGAAAATGTGGAGGGTGAAGGTAACAGTGGTCCCAGTGGTAATCGGAGCACTAGGTGCGGTGACTCCCAAACTACACAGCAAATCCAGCATGTCCAAATTAACACTGTCGGATTTGATTTCAACACTATTAAAGTGTCTATATGGGTCCACACCAGAGAGTGTTAATTTAACTCTTTTTGGAGAGTTGGTACGTTAACTCTGATTTAGTGTTAAACACCAAATCTGTCTGGAGTTGATAATTTAACACTTGGTGTTAAGAGTTTATATATTAACTCTCAAAGAGTATTTTAGTTTAACTACGTAAGAGTTATCTTCTAATTCATTCTAAAAAGCGGGAATTTTACTGTTCTGAACTTCTAGAAATTTCTTTTGGAAATAAACATTTACTAAAAAGATGCAATGGTTTTTGAAAAACATTTATTCTGAACTGTGCACCACAATTTCAAAACATTTTCTGAAAGATGTAACAGTATACATGTTCTCACTTTCATTAGAATTTTGTTTATCAAAAGGTCTGACATGGTAAATGCAAATAACAGCATTCTCATCACTTATTTCTTCAATACAATATGCATGTCCTTCATTCATCCCTTTGTGGAACTTCAACGCACTTCTGCTCTCCCCCATATTCCATCTTCACAAGCATATCCTGTGCGGAGATTGAATAAAAATTAGTTGACACTAATTAATGGCACAAATAATCCAGTAAACAATTGCAGCACAGTAAAAAAAAAAAAGGAATCCTCTTTGAGCCATTACTTGTGTAAAGTATTTTCCCAAAAGACAAGGACACAGGCAACAGGTAATACTGAACTAAATGTAAAACCTCAACCTTTTTCATTTTTACCTAAACCGTGTGCACAAAACTCTGGAGGGATCTATGCTAACGTAGAATCCAGTCAGGACGTCTGCTACTGCTGTTTGCTCGTTTTTTTTTTTTTTATGGGCGATCGTTTTCAGGCTTCAAGTAGCACCATTATACCAACATTTCACATTCTAGACATTGTTTTAGGTGTATTTGACCAAAAGTTTGACTGAAAATTCACATGCAAGCTTTTTTTCAAGGCTGTGGTATTTGCCCGCAAACAATACCTTTCAGCTAGCTAAAACAGAATATTATGCTATCACGAGCAACATGGCTAATGCCTTTCACACAGCTTTGTCTCAACTCCAAAGAGCCACAGAAGTAAAAGCTCATAATAATAATTGAAACAATCTTTGAAAAAATGACTTACCAAGCATGGCAAACAACTCAAATATGTAGAGCAAAATGTTCTGAAACGGCTTCACTTCAGCTTCGATTGGAGCCGTGCTGGGGGCGGAGTCTGTGAATTTACTCTGTTGGTGTCATAGCCCCTCTAGGAGTTCAGAGTTAAGAGGTCAAGAGTTAATGTTTCCATTGTAACACCTCCAGATTTGACAGAGAAACACTCATTTTTAACACTCGATTTTAACTACTATCATTTTACACCTCAGAGTTACATTAAAAGAATGTGACTCTACTTAGAGTAAAATTAACTCTACTTTTGCAAGAAGACTATTAACACCAAAACATTTAACACTTTTGAATTTGCTGTGTAGGCAAGTGGCTGCAGCAGATCCCAGGAACAACATCGGAGATCTCTGTCCAGAAGAGCGCAGTCCTAGGAACAGTTAAGATACTGCGCAGGACCCTCAAGCTCCCAGGCTCCTGGTAGAGGACCCAAGCTTGAAGGATGAAGACCACCAGGGGTGTGAGGGGAATTATATATATATATATATAAAACATTAGTGCTGTCAGCGTTAATCTCATTAAAATGATGTTAACACCATAACCGCATTAGCTCTTTAATGCAGCCCCCGTGAGAGGGGCTGCGTTAACGAGCTAACTGCGCTGATGCGTTAAAGCTATGCAGCCCTTGCACGGGGCAATCCATGTTAACTCGCTAACGGAGATTTGCCGCGTTAATGCGTTTATGGCATTAATGTCATTTTAACAAGATTAACGCTGATAGCACTAATATATGTATATATACATACATATATTTGCATACAGACATAAATGTGTGTGAGTAGGGGAAAGGCGAGCAGGCTGTTGATTACTGCAAGCAGCAGGTTAGAGTGGTCCGTGGAATTGACTGAAGATTATGCGTTTTACAACTACATGAATGTACTATTGCTGTGTGATTTATTACTACTACTGAAAGATACCAATAGCAATTAGATTTTTAAATCTTAATAAAAAATGAGTAACAGTAGGGTGGACATTAGATAAGGCTGCACTTTTTGCAGCGGCCTCGTATAGAAAACTGTTTCACGCGTATATAAAACAGGTCCGCGGCTCCTAATACGTCGGTTCCGTGTTGGGCTCGTAGCTGAAAACTAGCTTTACTTTGTTGTCTGGGTCAACTTTGCTAGCAAGAGACAGAGAGAGACTTTGAAAGGCTGCTCCAACGGAATTTATTGTTTCGGAGAAAAACACGAACACAGTGTACAGTCGAGTCTTAATAGTTTACTTAAAACTGGACTACACTGCCCATGAGGCTACATTCTTTAGGGCGATGCCTGTAACACTCTGCCTATTGCCTTCATATTAATTTTTTTTTTTTTTTAGGTTTCATAAGCTTCAGTCATTTTAATGATTATAGGAATTTTTTTTTGTTTTGTTTTAATACAATGAAGCTAGCGTTGACTGTACAGCCACCAAGATGTTTTCGCCTCAGTTGAGGACTAATAAAAAATAAAAAAATAAAAAAAAATCATCATGTACAAAACTCTACTTCAGACACTGACGTCTAAATGCAAGAAAAAGCACTTGTTGTAGCCTGCATGTTAATGTTTAAACACCCCAAATGGCAAATCCTACACAATGTGTGGTAGCTTGATTAGTTTAAAACTCTAAATAAAGCCAAAGACTTGAACACATCTTACGCACAATGACTAAACTGTACACATGTGCACATTTTAAATGTAGCAATCTGGGAAAGAGTAATATTTATATGCTGTGCTTAAAGGCTACCCTGAAATAATCTGAATTTAGAGTTGGTTTTTTAATGTCACTATATAAATTTTGCCAATGCCGACCAACTATAACTGAAAAAAACAAAACAACAACAAAAAACACCAGAGGTGTGGAGTAAGAGTGTTCTACAAACTTTTGTTCTCGGTCCCTATAAAAGCCCCATCTCTGGCTTATGAAAGCATCTCGACCGGCCATTCATTGGGCTGTCAAAAGTACCAATAAACAAAAAAACAAAAAATTTAAAAAATTTAAAAAAAACAGCTGATCTATGAGCAGTTTAGACCCACTCCATCATTCCAGTCGTTTAATTCCACAGTAATATCAAAAACGCTACTTAAATGAGCTTTTCTGTGAGACCGATTAATCATGATGTTCAAAACATTCACATTACTCCTTTATCCATATGCGTGTGCACCCTTGGGTAGATGATTACACAATGAATTTCCTTTCAGATTCAAACTGAAGATGAGGTTTCATTTCATCCCAAGATGCATGATTTTCCTGTAAGGTCCCGGTCCGCCCCACAGCCCCCTGTCGTGAGACAAATAAAGACAAAGCTGTTGTTGTAGCGGCTTAACTGCTGCTAATTAACTGCTGTTAATTAACTGTAAACATACCTAAGAAGCCCATGCCAATAGAGGTGAGGCATCACATCTGTTTTCATGTGGTACATTAATCGCCTCTCCTTGGCTTGGTTGAAGGGGAACGTTTCCAGCGGTTGTCCGTTGTAGTCGAACTCTGCCAGGATTACTGTGTTGTAGCTTGTGACCAAGGGACATGAAGTATACCCATCATACTTCTTATCTGTTTTTTCTTTTTTCAATATTTTGCTGATAGTTCGGCTCAAGACGGCAGACTGTGCCGTGACAGCTGCTCCGGTTTTGGATGTGGGAAGGTTGGTGCAGTCTCCGATCCCAAACACGTTTGGATACTTGGTATGTTGGAGAGTTTCTTTGTTCAGATCCAACCAGCCGATCTCGTCGGCCAGCGGACTGCCTTTAATCACCGAGCTGGGTCCCATTGGCGGTGTAACATGAAGCATTTCATACTCGATAACTTTGGTTTCCCCTGGTTTGCCAAGATTTTCAAACACAGCTTCTTGCTTATCTGCGCGCACTTCAATCAGGTTGTGCCTCAGGTTAATCTGTAGGTCACGCTTTTTCACAATCTCCCACAGTGAGTCAGCGTATTTCTTTACCCCAAAGATCACAGGCAATGATGTGTTATAGATCACATTGGCTTTTGCTCTTTTGCCCGTCTTCCTGAGGTAGGCGTCTGACAGGTACATGATCTTTTGTGGCGCTCCAGCACATTTCACAGGAGTATTTGGGAAAGTGAACACAGCATTGCCCTCTTTGAAATCCTGCAATGCTTTCCACGTCTTCTCCACAGTTTGGACAGAGTAGTTAGAGCCAATTTTTGGGTGCTCAAACCCCTCTGGGAGTCCTTTGATCTTCTCATAATGGAGCTCTAAACCAAGCGCCACAATCAAATATTCATATGAGATTTCCCATCATCTGTGCGTACAGTATTTGTCTCTGGGTTAATTTCCTGAACCTTAGATTTCACCCATTTCACTCCAGATGGCATAAGACTCGCAGTGGGACGGCTTGAGGACGCTACAGTCTTTGCACCAGCACCAACCAGGGTCCATATTGGCTGATAGTAGTGGATCTCGCTGGGCTCCACCACAGCTACATTCTCTGCTCCCACCAGCCTCTTCATCCGGGAGCTCATTGCGATACCGCCAGTTCCTCCTCCCAGCACAAGCATTTTGTAATGCTGTTTGGCAGAGGCAGGGCTGCTTGTGTGAAACTGAGAGATAGCAATGCCCCTCGGGTGGCACTGCTTGAGATGACGCAGTGCAGCCATCCTGTGTCTCAGCAGGAGCGCTGTCAACCTCGCATGTTAATGTCCGTTTAGGCGGAATGCTCTTAGCCTTCATATTAATTCATTTTTGAACAATAATTTTTAAAAAATATTTTGTCACGTCATTATGCGGGCTGCAAGTAGAGGTGACATGGACCATGAGATTGAGGCACAGGCATTAGAGCCTCTTAATGCGCGTTTTGTTTGGATTTCCACCAGCGTGGAATTACCAAAAAAAGATGGGACAGCCTAGCATATGAAACAGGAAAAGACTGCCGTGTAATCCCTTTATTTCAACAAAGTAACTGCATTCTAAATACCACCTTTTTAAACGGTAACTGTAACGGAATACAATTACTGATATTTTGTATTTTAAATATGTTACGCCGGTACATGTATTCCGTTATTCCCCAACACTGGTAACAATACAAAAAACGATTCCAAAACATGAGAGAGCCTAGAACTGATTCTGGATAGCAGACGATCTAGCGAGGAGGAGGAGTCAGCACTGGTATAAATACCGACTCAGTCCAGATCGGTAACAGCATATCCAACACCACCACACTGAGCACTGGAGCTCCTCAGGGCTGTGTGCTCAGCCTCTGTTGACTCGTGACTGTGCAGCAATGCACAGTTCAAACCATATCATCAAGTTTGCCGATAACATGATTGCAAAAGCGATGAGTTAGCGTACAGAGACGAGGTGCAACAGCTAACAGACTGCTGTAGAGTCAACAAGGTGTCTCTGAAAGTGGACAAAACAAAAGAGATGATTGTCGAATTCAGGAGAGCATGGAGAGATCACTGTCCATTTAACATTGATGGAGCCTCTGTGGAGGTTGTCAAGAGCACCAAATTCCTTGGTGTTCACCTGGCAGAGAACCTCTCCTGGTTCCTCAACACCAGCTCCATAACCAAGAAGGCCCAGCAGCGCTTCTACTTCCTGCGGAAGCTGAGGAAAACCCATCTCCCACCATCCATTCTCACCACCTTCTACAGGTGGACTATCGAGAGTGTCCTGAGCAGCTGCATCACTGTCTGGTATGGTAACTGCACCATATCGGATTGCGATACCCTGCAATGGATAGTAAGAACTGCCTATTGTGCCCACCTATCGTACCCGCTGCATCTGCAAAGCCACCAGCATTGTGGAGGATCTCATGCACCTCTCACACAAACTTTTTACCATGCTGCCTTCTAACAAGAGGTACCGAAGCATTCGGCACTGCAAGACTGCACAACAGTTTCTTATCCCAAGATGTCAGACTCCTGAACACTCAAGACTGAAGAAGTTTATTGTCATTTCGTATGGTGTTATCTAGCCTGAAACGAAATACTGTTTCTCACCCGCCTCTACAGTGCAATAAACAATACAGTTTAAAAATAATAAGTTTAAAAAGAGCAGTAAAAAGGCAGTAATGAATTGCAACAATAGTTATGGATAAATAACATAAAATCTAAGTTCTAAAACAAACTCAAGTCACATTCATTCGGGTAGACAGCAGCAGTCCTTTCACAGAAGGGGATGGTTAAATTAGGTAGTGTATGCATCTGGGGAGTGTATTGTATGTGTGTATGTGTGTGTGTAGGTAGGGGCCATTACAGTCCGTTTGTGGACCTCACAGTGTAGCTGTGTGAATAGCTGTGTGGGTGGGGATGGGTCACAGTCTGTTTATCAGTCTCACGGCTTGTGCAAAGAACCCTTCCAGCATCCTGGTGGTTCTGCAGCTGATGCTCCTGTACCTCTTGCCAGATGGCAGAAGGGAGAACAGGTCATGCGAGCGGTGGTGGGGGTCTCTGATGATGTAGATAGCTCTGCATATGCAGCGCTGTGTGTAGAGAGATGCGATGGGGGGGCAATCTTCTTAACAATTCTATTGAGTTGACGCTTCTCATAGGACTTGCAGCTGCCAAACCAAGATGTAAAACTTTGTGTCAGGATATTTTCGATGATGCCTATGTAAAAAGTTGTGAGGTGAAGTGTGGAGAGTGCTGCTTTTCTGAGTCTCCTTAGGGAGTGGAGACTTTTGTGCTTTTTGACAACTGGTGTGGTGTTAATGGAGAAGGACAGGTCATCAGCAAAGTGTACACCCAGGAACTTAACACTGCTGACCCTCTCCACAGCAGTACCATCTATGGTGAGGTCAGTGTGGTGATCTCTGCCAGCCTTCCTGAAATCGATCACCATCTCTTTTGTTTTGTCCACATTGATGGAGAGATTGTGGGGTCTACACCACACTTCAATCTGCTCCACTTCCATTCTATAGGCAGACTCGTCGTTGTCAGTGATGAGACCAACCACAGTTGTGTCAGGACACACCCCTGAGGAGAGCCTCTGCTCTCTAAGATGGTCTTTGATGTGTGGCTGCCCACCTTGACTGTCTATTGCCGCTTTGTCAGGAAGCTGAAAATCCAGTTGCAGGTTGCCGGGTTCACGCCGAATACCATCAGCTTGTCCACCAACTGCTGTGGAATGATCGTGTTAAAAGCTGAGCTAAAGTTGATGAAAAGGACTCTGGCTGGACTGACACACACACACCTTCATACATCAAGTTACCTTTTGCACAATGGTCAGTGTTTTTGCACAACCAGCTGTCACTGTTGTACTTTTCTATTGCATTGTTGTGTCTGCACTGTCTTGTGTCTGTATCATTCTGTTCTGTCTGGTTTTGCACTGTTTTTGTTTTGTTGTTTCTGCAATTTTATGCAATTTTGCATGCTTTGTTTTGTTTTTTTACAGCACATTGTGTTCTGCGTCGTGATCGGCTGTAGACCATTGTCAATCAATCTCTTCCGTGCCGTGTCTCCTGTACAGTGGAGAATGTGTTGAGCTTGTCAAATTTATCTTGATCTTCGATCACTACAGTGTGACTCTGAAGTGTACTGTATGTTTGTAAGTTTTCTCCCCAACAAAGACAACAATGTCGACAAAGCGTTTTGCACCGTTAAAGGCACCTGCTGTAGCACCCAAAAGGCAGAGGAAGATGCTAACCATAGCCCACAAAGTTGGACTTCTGGACATGCTAACGGAAGGTAGAAGTTACTGTATTTTTCAGATTATAAGGTACATTAAGCGAAACAAAACAGTCTGTCACGGTCGGGCGGATCACACACAGTAATTCGGCGTGCCCGTGTGGCGTGCTGGCTAGACCCAAGCGTGGCGAAGGCTAGCGGTGGGTTTGGAGCAGACACGCAGTTATTCTAGTAACGATCAGTGCACGAAGCATGGCTTCGGAACTGTCGTTACAGACAGAGAGCGAGCAGAGCCGGGAAGAGAAAAAGGATTGAAAGGGATAATCACTCATGGTTGCTGAATCAGGCGGAGACTGACGTCGGCAGAGTTTCGGAGCTCCTGACACGAAGAGAATGATGTCTGAGCGG